GAGTGTGTATGCATGTGCATGTATATGTGCATGTGCATGCAGAAGAACTCCGTAGGCAGCAGGACTGGAGAGACAGGGGTCTCTGGGTTGGTAGTGAAGGGCACTGGCAGTGCTGGGGGGGCAGGGGCTTAGGAGTGAGGAGCAGAGGCAAGGCACAAGCATGTCACTGCCCCCAGTGAAATCATATAACCCTCCCCCTCCCCCCCACAGGTGTCCTTTTTTCTTGATCCTGGAAATATGGTAACCCTACATTTAGTAAGATAAAAAAATATTGCAGTCCCACAGAATCTTCACCACAGCTCTAAAGCAATTCTTAAGCAGGCCATGAACAGAACCAATCTGTAACTCAAAGAGATTTCACGAAAAATAGTTGGATAGAAGCTGTAATTTGCTAAGGAAATAACTGAAGAATTCTTCAAGTTAAAACAGACATATGTTGGACAAATCTAAATAGAGTTTACTGTGACTTACTGCAGCACCATAAATCAATGTTCCAGAGGAAAAAATATAGTCATAAGCTCATAAAAACAAAACAAAAAAAAACAAACACAAACTAAAGATGTGATGGATACCAGTTCCTTCTGTCACAGCTAGAAGGAACATAATAATAAGAGTTGTGTCCAACCATGAAATGGCAAAATCTGGACAGGACATTCCCAAAGCCTGTTCACTAGAATTTAGCTTACTGAAATTCAACCCCGAAGTGTGAGTATTTACACTGGCAGTGTCATTTACAAACTATTATGTTATATACTTAAAAACAAGTATAGTATTTGGCTAAACACAATGGAATTCAGGAATGCACCACTATTCACATCTGTACTGTACTTATACTTATTGACAATAGGCAAAAAACAAAATCACAGGGTAACATATTTGCCTGGTCCATGGACTAAAGAAAAATAATAATAAAAACTTCTTGGTCACCCTGATATCTTGGGTTGAACATCAAACTGCTACCAAACAGAAATCATGAGAACTCATATGGCTTCATTAAGTCTTTAAGTACATATGCTAGTTCATCCAATACAGGATAAATATTGTCTAAACTGAGGTCTTTGTTAGACCCTGACTCCATGTGGAACCTAACGACTAGGGAGACAACGATCCAATTGCTCATGGATCCTGTTACTCATTAGCCAGAGCAAGTAGGGAGCAAACGCTGCTTGCACACCTTGCTTGCAACAGCTTTATTTAGAATGGAGACACCTTTGGGAGAGCTCCCTCACAGACACCCAACCTGTGAGCACAGGGAGCAGCCCTGAAAATTAGTTTTTTTTCCCATTTTATACACCTCGGTTTATGCTCATTAACATTCACTCCACCTATGTCCCTCCTCCTGTTCCACCCATTTCTCCTCCCAACTCAAGCTCCGCCTCTGTTTACTGATTACTTCATTAGCATGGCATTGCCTATGCATTTCTTTCATTTACATCTCTCTGCTAAGAGCGCATGCGTAAGGCTTTGACTTCCGCTTCCTTTGGTTACTTGCTGGTTCTTTGCTGACTTCAACACCATCTCCAAGGCCTTGCTTCTGCTTTATCTCCTGACAATAACTGGTGGGCTGCTTCTTTTTCTTCTTACACAATGGGCTCTAACACTCCGACTTTGTTTAGAAAACTGCTTGCCTAAGCATTTGCAAGGTTAGTCTTAATATATCATTCCTGCCTTATGACCAGCAGCTCTGCTGAGACACAGAAAAAAGCCTTCATTCAGCTGCACACACAGTGCTTCCCAACATCCATATTGTTACCCTAACCCTTTATATTGTCTGCACTACAGAAAATAATATAATCTTGATAGTTCAACTAAATGACTTGGAACTATAATAACTACTTTAAGCTAACGACACGGTATTATTACTACCTGCACAAGATGTTCTTTAGATATGTACCCATTGCAAAAAGTAGGATTTACAGATCAGCCTGAGGGAAAAAAAAAGCTTCAGCATTTCAGGAAAAGCACCAAAACAATCCAAACAAAATAAAATTCTATATGAGACATCAGGAGTCAACACACTCTAAATTAAACACAGTTGAGCCTCATAATAAACACACCAGGGAGCTTCAGACTGCATCAAAACAGAGTGAGAAAATACTCAGAAGGCCTTCTGCTGAGAAAATAATCACAAAATAGTTATAACATGTCCCTCCACATCCAGAAAACTGAACCCAGAAGAATAACACAAGAATTCTGGAAGTGAAATCTAGGGCCCAATTAAAACAACAGATTGCACTGACTGGGGAAAAAACCCTGAGAGAGACACTAAAACTGCAGTTCTACAAACAATTACTCCACATTTATAAGAACATCAGCAACAACAGGACAATTCCCATTGCTAATTAAAGATTCAGAGAAAAGCTTTCAGTTTGTGGTGGCATCACAGCTGAAGCGGGCAACATTCTCCACTTCAAAGCACTATAAGGCCAGAAACTAAATCCAAATGAAAACATAATCTCCTCACATATATCATTATTCCCCAGGTTCAAAAACAATTGACAGACCTCACTAGTCAAGGAAATACTCCAAATCACAATGCTAAGCATTCCCAAACTGGCACCCTGATCATCAGCACAAGTCACTGGGAAGAATACCAAAAGGAGCAAACTGAAATGCTACAGGTCATTACACAAAACTATCACACCAGCAGACTACCCTACCCCTTACTAAAAATACCAGATCAGTCACCACAGAGAAAATGTGAAAATCAGAAAGCAGGCAACAAACTCACAGAGCAGCAACTGTGACACAGGAGATTTGGATAGAGATGCTTTGCACTCAAATTCCCCAAACAAAAGGAAATGTGTCTCAAATTCATAGGAAACATAGAAGGTTTCTCATACAAAAGCAACTAGGAAAAGCTGTGCCTGCCCTTGGCAGGAAGAAAACATGGTAGTATAATTTGTTAGCCATTGTAATAACTAATAGACATGATTATTTAAT